GACGTTTCGGGCCTTTCTGAAGAAGGGTCTAGGCCCGAAACGTCAGCTTTCCTGCTCCTCTGATGCTGCTTGGCCTGCTGTGTTCACCCAGCTCTACACCTTGTTAGCTCAGATTCTCCAGCAACTGCACTTCCTACTATCTCTGAAACATGGACTTAACGTGTGCAGTTTGTCAATGTGCATCAGGAACACAGAAGCAGAAAATTTCCTTACATCAGTAAGACTGTGTACGCACTAAACTGAAAGTCTGAATCACAGAATGAACACAACGACACTAACCTTTCTAAATAATTGTCAATATACAAAAAGGAATCAGTTCAAATTTCCTGGTGGTTTGAATATCTTACCCCATGATAGGGCAATAGGAACAACAGATAATTTATTTTGAACCAAACTGCTATCCTTTGGAGGATATAGTTCTTAGAGATGTTGACATGACAAAGTGCTTGTTAAATCTAGTCTCCTACTCAGGTATTCAAGGTATCTGATCTCAGGACTCATATAGTAACACATAACAAATCTGCTTTATAAATGTGAAGCGATGTACAGCATTATGGAATAGTTTTAATTAACAGAGTGTGCATTACATAGGAAAATTCAAATGACAGTTGATGTTAGTCATATTCTCATCAGAGGTGAAACAGCTTTATTAGCAAGAGATGAATATAATAGAAGATGCATTTGCACACATAAAAACATACCCATTTCCAGGTATTCATAAAATAAGCCCAACTTTGATATGGATTGCAGCTGATAGTCTTGCTCCCATCGGGGAAGTTTCTCTTCTGATTTTTCACGACACCGAGCAATAAGGTTCTTTAACCACCTGTACAACAAGAACAACTGACATTTGGTAAATAATGGCAAGGTTTTGTATTCAGATGAATGGGAATCTAGAGCCACTGCAGGCATCCTCAATATAATGTACCATTCCCAAAAATCTACTGGAATTTTTCAAAGAGATAGCTAAGTTGGCCAATGAGGATAAGATGGGGATATCATCTGCTTGGATTTTCAGAAAGTTATTGTGAAGCTTTACTGTTGGGGTGTCATGGACCAGATCAGACCACCTGAAAATATTTTAAGAAGGTAGTCTAAACCTATACCCTAACTTTTCTTATTTTTAAAGGTAGATGTAAAGTGCATGTTCTAGATATGATACAACTGGTCAAACCACTCGAGGTTAAGCAAAACACAATTTATTTAAACACTATAGTTAAAATATCCAAAAGAAAGAGTAATTTAGAATAGCTTAACTATTGGAAAACTTAACCGAACAATAGATACAGTACCTATTACTAATTAACTCTCCCAAAATAGCAACATCCCATAAACACGCCCCTTGGCAAAAAGGTAAATTCAGACATAGATACTTACATGCCGTTCAACATCAAGAGAAATTACAGAGAAAATCATAGTTAGGAATTATTTACTGAAGCTCCAACTCTTCTGGGGCCCAAACAGCTTCTCAACTGCTACAGCGAAAAAAAATCTAGACAGCCTGATCTGGGAGAACTGCCCATTCCCTTTCCATTGTTACGACTGCTTTAAAAAAAACCTAAAGGCCTCTTAATTTAGGCTGGCTCCTGTAGCCGTTTCAGCACCTCTGCCTCTACAACCTCTCTTCAAAAAAACCCAGGAAAAATAACCTTTTTAAAGCGACAGCGTCATCACACCTCCCCCCTTAAAAGACGTGAACCATCAATATACAAAAATGGCTTCATTTTAAATCCCTTGGTCTTATTCTATTAGTACACTACAATACATATGCATAAAGTTGACTCTTAAGCATGCAAACGTTCATTACTACATTGTATTTCAGTTTATTTACTCCTGCCACAAAATGCCTCCATCTTTCTTCATCCAAGTCGCAACAGCGCGTCAGCAACTACGTTTTCTCATCCTGCCACGTGTATAATGTTCAAACTGAATGGCTACAATAATAAGCTCCACCTATACAATCTGGAACTTTTGTCCTTAAATTTCTCCAAAAACTTTAATGGGTTATGATCATTATACACAATTGTCTCAGGCACATTACTGGCAATACAAATGTTGAAATGTTCTAAAGCCAACTCCAAGCTCAAGGTCTCCTTATCAATCGTGGAATATTTCTGTTGATGAGCATTCAGCTTTCTGGACAAATACCTGATAGGTCTTTCTATCTTCTCGTTGTCTTCTTGTAAGAGTACAGCACTGACACCCACATCACTTGCATTGATAGCCACTTTAAATGGCTTTGCATAATCAGGTGCGGCTAGTACAGAGGCAGTGGTTAACACAGCTTTCAGGCTGTCAAATACCTTCTGACAGTCTGCCATCCACTGAAACTTTCTGCAGTTTATCAATAGGTCAGTCAATGGAGCAACCATACTGCTATAATTTGTTACGAACTTCCAATAAGACCCACTCAATCTCAAGAATCGTAGTACTGCTCTCTTTGTCGATGGTGAGGGAAACTCCCCAATAACCTTTCTTTTCACATTCCATGGGACATCTGTCCATGATCCAAGAACACAACTTGGGCTTTTATGAATTTACTCTTAGCTAGGTTTATCACCAAGCCTGCCCCCTGAAGGCAATTGAATAATTCCAATAAATGCTGCAAATGTTCCTTCCGTGTGTGACTAAAACTCACCAGGTTGTTAATGCACACCACACAATTGGGTAATCGAGAAATAACTTTATTGGTTGGTTTTTGAAATGTGGCTGTCAAATTTTTCATACCAAATGGCATGAGTTTAAATTGGTATAGTCCATTTGGTGTTACAAACCCAAAATTATCTTCACCCTTTCAGATAAAGGTACCTGCCAGTACCCTCTGAGTAAAAGTCCAACTTAGAAATATAAGTTGCTTGTCCCACCTTTTCAACACAGTCTTCCAAACATGGAATCGACTATGAATCAGACTTTGTAACTGCACTGACTTTGCGGTAGTCTTGGGCACTGTCCGCTTTTGGTACCGCTGCTATGGGTGAGCTCTAGTCACTACAACTCACTTTGATTATGTTATCTTTGTGCATGCGTTCAATCTCTTTTTGAACCTGTGCCAACTCTAGAGGGTTAGGTCTGTAAGGATGTTGCTTAATTGGAACAACATTTCCTATATCTACATCATGCATAATTAAACTAGTAATTCCCAGCTTATTCGCACGTATCTCCCCATGCAATAGTAATAACGCTTTCAGGTCATTTTGATTTTTCTCTGGAAGGTAACTCAATAATTTATCCCAATTTTTGAGAACTTCCTCATTGTCTAATTTAATTTGAGGAATGTCTAATTCAGAATCCTCTGAACTTGGTGCTTCACTTTGTGTTGTAGCCAGTAACATTCTCCTTTTGCTTTCCTTCCCCATCAAAACACGTTTTGAGCATTTTCACATGACACACTGTAAGAGATTTCTTTCTATCTGGAGTTCTTATCAAATAATTCATCTCACTCAAACTCCTTTCAATTTGATAAGTTCCACTAAGCCTTACTTTTAAAGGTTCATCTATCACTGGAAGTAACACTAACATTTTATCTCCATTAGCAAAATTGTGAATTTTTGATTTCTTGTCTGCTTCCTATTTCACCATATGTTGTGCTGCTTTTAAATGCTGTCTAGCCAACTCCCCTGGTGTATTGAACTGTTCCCTAAAATTTGACACGTAGTCCAAATATGTGGTCTCCGAACTCTGACTTGCCAACTTCTCTTTAATTAATTTTAGTGGTCCTCTCAACCTCATGCCCAAAAATTTATTCAAATGGACTGAATTTGGTCGATTCATTTGGTGCATCCTTAATTACAAGAAGTACAAATGGAATTCCTCTATCCCAGTCATCTGGATGGTCAATAAGCCCTCAACATAGTCTTTGAAATTTGATGCCACTGTTCTAACACTCCCTGCAATTCTGGATGGTACGTAGCGGATTGGAATTGTTTTATTCCTAAACTATCCATAACTTCCCTGAATAATTGTGACGTAAAATTTGACCCCCGATCTAATTGTATCTCTGTGGGTAGTCCATATCTAGTGAAAAATTTTATGAGTCTTCAACAATCCTTTTAGCTGTGATGGAATCTGGAAATCTAGTGGATGCATTTATTATTGTCAACAAATACTGATTCCCACTTTTTCTTTTAAGTAGAGGTCCTATGCAATCAATTAAGACCCTTGTAAAAGGTTCCTCAAATGCAGGAATGGGAATTGAAGGTGCTGCTTTTATCACTTCCTGAGGTTTTCCAATTACCTGACATGTCTGGCAAAATTCAGCTGCATCCTTATGCAGTCCAGACCAGTAAAAATGTTTTTGTATTAAGGCTGCAGCTTTTCTTACCCATGAAAGATGTCCTACTGGTAATTCATTGTGCTACCCGCAACACCTCCTTTCTATAATCGACTGGTGATACAACTTGATGAACTTCTGCCCATTTCTCATCCACCTGAATATGTGATGGTCTTCATTTCCTCATCAAGAGACATCATTTTTAAGACAGTAATATTCTGGAATACACTCAGATTCTTCTTCTGTGTACACTTTTGGATACAATTGCTTCAGTTTTTCATCTTTCTGTTGTAATTCAGTTAATTTCACTGAACTAAAAATATCCACTTTGTCCTCCACCTGTTCTTGTTTTGTCTCAACCATTCAATCAAACATGGTTTCTGATAATTCTACTTTGACTTCCTTACCTTTACTCTTTGATTTTTCCCCCTGCTTCAACTGCTGGCTTTGTGACCTTGTTATCACAGAATCAGGAAAAATCCCAGGATATACTTCGTGCAATATCTCAGTTGCCTGATTTTGAACTGGCTTTTCAACGACAGTAGGCAGCACTCCTACCTGTAATCCAGCTATATCATTACCAAGGACAAATTGTATTCCTGGACCCAAGAGTTCCTCCAGTACTCCTACCACCACTTCTTCACTTTTCACCAGACACTCCAACCTCATGCTACCTAATAGAACATTTCTCGTCTCACCACGAATTTCATATATTAGCACTTCTTCTGGCAATAGTCCTTCTGAATTACATATCTCCTCATCTCTCAACATCAAAGATTGACATGCTCCCGTATCTCTTAAAACTGTAATTTCTTTATGTGATCCTCCTGGCATATGTCAGTAAACCTTACCCTTGCAGGTAAATGGTTTAAGAAGATCTGGCTCTTGCTTCTCAAGAAACCTCCGACCAGGTTGTACATTCTGGTGCAGCATTTTAGCCTCCAGTGTGTTTTCCTTTTCCATTTTAACAAAAGTCAGTGGCTTATCCTGCTTTCCTACATCTATATTCCCAGTGCTTTTTCCAAACCACCAACACTGTGACTTCACGTGGCCTACTTCATTGCAATGAAACCACCTGAGCTTTTTAACTTCTCTATCCCCTTCATGGGTTTCCTTTTTACCCTGTGGTAAACTATCTTTCTTATCTTCAATGACATCTACTTTTCCCATACCACCTGAGGATTTCTCTTTTCCCCAATTTCTATCCCTCACAGATTGAAACTGATGTCGGAAGTCAGAATTTGATTACAAACCAACTCGTAATCATCAGCCATTTCAGCTGCTAATCTTGTAGTTTTAACTCTTTGCTCTTCCATGTGATTTGTCACTACTTCAGGAAGTGAATTTTTGAACTCTTCCAAAATAATTGTCTAAGAGTGTCATATGATTGATCAATTTTTAATACCCTTATCCACCTATCAAAATTACTTTATTTGATCCTTTCAAACTCAATGTACATTTGACCAGGTTCTCTCCTTAGATTCCTGAAACATTATCTGTAGGCTTTTGGCACTAGCTCATAAGCACTTAAGATGGCTTTCTTCACATCCTCATAC